AGCTCACTCTGTAGATGGGGGGTTGGGGGGCGCCTCAGCTCACTCTGTAGGTGGGGGTGGGAGCGTCTCAGCTCACTCTGTAGATGGGGTTGGGGGAGTTGGGGGCCGTCTCAGCTCACTCTGTGGATGAAGTTGGGGGAGTTGGGGGGTGTCTCAGCTCACTCTGTTCGTGAGGAAACTGAAGTTGCGATGGTTGTGTCACTCACCCCCACAGCCACACTATCGAGAGAGACTTCCATGACACTGGGAAACAGGCTCCCACGGTCTCTTCTGAATATCTCTACTCGCTGGGAGCTTGGAATCCACCAGTATGTGGGCAACAAAAGCCTAAAAACACCAGAAGTCAGGTAAACGGCCTGGATGCAAACTCAAGTCAGAAACCAAAGACCTTTCCAGAAAAGCCCCTGTGATACCATGTGTGGAATGAAGGTTCCTCTCTGTGAGGTTGTCTTCCCCAGGAGACTCACGCCAGCCACTGCAGACAAGGCCAAAAAAAGACTGTGGATGCCACCTGCCTTCTAAGTCACAAGGGCCTCTGCCAGTAGTCCAGCTACTATCTATGTCCTGAGCCTTAACATTAGTAGCATCTTGGGCAAATGTAACTGGGCTCAAATATGCCACATGGGCTCAGGAGGGGAGGGGCTGCCGCCAAACCAGGAGGAGGGAGTCTGCAGACAGGAAAGTGTAGTAGTTTGAATGTAATTGCCCCCCAATCTCATAGGGAGTGGCACTATTAGGAGGTGTGGCTTTGTTGGATGGGTGTGGCCTTGTTGGAGGAAGTGTGTCACTGTGGGGGCGGGCTTTGAGTTTTCCTATGCCCAGTGTCTCAGTTGACTTCCTTTTGCCTGAATGATGTAGGACTCTCAGTTTCTCCTCCAGCACCACATCTGCCTGCACACTGCCACGATGATAAAGGACTGAACCTCTGAAACTATAAGCCGCCACCTCAATTAAATGTTTTGCTTTATAAGAGTTGCCATGGTCATGGTGTCTCTTCACAGCCAATAGAAACCCAAACTAAAACAGAAGGGCTGAGTTCCTGTCTCTAGAACACACACTTTGGTGATTGTGGTTGGTATGGTTGATGAATCAGGCCCCACTAGGGCAAGCCCCCGGCCCACAGGAAGCCCTGCAGCACTGCTTGAATGAATGAGGGGTGGGTGGAGCTGAAAGGCATCACAGCTGTAACTATCTAAAGAACTGCAGGGACCAGGCAAGCCCTCCTTCCTCCCTCTCCAGAACATTCTACCCATCCTCCGAGGGGACAGGGGCCGTAAGAGGAGGCTGTCTGGGACCCTCCACTTATGAACCACTGTAACCTGTGCCTCAGTGTCCTCAGCTGTAAAATGGAATGCATGGCATTGTGAGAACTGAGTGAATACTTGTGAAGGACCTGGCATGTGCAAAGCGCTATCTGCTTATTTAGTTAAGGAAAACGGGCCTCCATCCAGGTCGCTGGTCTGTGTGCAGGGCCCATTTTCTCTTCTGCTGATTCAATGCAACGGTACAGCACCATACACACCAGAGAGAATGGAGAGGAATTACCGTGTCAGAGCTTCAAGGCCACTTCTCTGTCCCCAGACTCCACCTCACCTCCAATACCCTGATCCACCCACCTGCTCTCTCTTAAGTGATCATGAGCTCTGTCCCAGTTCAAGGCTTTGAGCCCCAGCAGCCACGGACCAAGCTTCCAAGAACGTACACCCAGAAGCTGGGCTACTTACTGACTCTGGGTCCAGATTTGGGAAGGACTAAGGTTAGAGGCTTGGTCTGAAACAGCATTACACGTGCGGGAGGCAGCGCCACCCAGTGGCAATTTTAGGAACCGGCGGCGGCAGAGACCAGAGGCACCCAGCGCACCCTGGTGGACTAAAGAAAAAAGAAAAAATAAAGTGAATGGTTCCGTTTGGAAAGCAATGGGCAGAGCTATATCAGTTCTTTTTCTCTGGGTGAGTTGGACACTCCTTACTCCAAGCTCTCCTTCTCTAGAAGGATGTCCTGCCTGGGGCTATGGCTCCTTCTCTTAAGATCTACCCTGGTTCCCTACACCGAGCATATACAGCCATGGGGAATAGCATCCATGACCCATTGTATGTGGTCCATTGTGTTTTCACTGTGCCGTCTGGTGGGAGGGAGAGAGAGAGAAGACAAAATGAAAACCTACTCAGCTTCGTTCCCAGCAGGGCTGTAAGCCTCAAAGGACTGAAGAACAAAACTATCATTATCCAAATGCTCTGATTCATAATAACCTTAGCAGCCATGTGGTTACAATTTTATGAATCTTAAATGTCCCCCAAAGCCATGGGCTGACAGCTTCATTGGCAGTGAGGGACACTACCAGGAGGTGGTAGACTCTTTAGGAGGGGGGACCCAGGGAAAGGAAGTTAGGTCACTGGGGTTGTGACTACAGTCATATTCTATCTCTCTGTCTGTCTATCTATCTATCTGTCTTGTCTATCTATCTCTATCTCTCCCCTCCTTTCCTCCTTCCCTCCCTCTCTCCAGCTGCCATGAACTGCCATGAGGAAAACAGTTTTGCTCTGCCTAGTCCCCCGACTGTGACATTCTGCCTCCCTACAAGCCCAAAACAATGGGGTCAGGTAACAATAGACTTCAACCTCTTCTCATAAGTAGTTTGTGTCACATAGTCCTGACTATTACATAGTCCTCAAACAAGATCATTTATGTGTGCTCCCTTCCCTCCTCCAACACACAGCCGAGATCCAGATACTCAAAGTTCCAAACAGGAAATTTCAATAATCTTAAGAATCTTAATATATAAAATTTAGATGAGAGCCAATTCCTTAGAACAAACATTACAATTCCCAGATTCACTGTGACGGAGAAACCCAAGGCCCTGGCCCACCTCTGAGGAATCAGAGAGCACTGTGATACCCCTGAGAGCCCAGCATCTATTCAGACAAACACCTCCATCCATCCAGAGAGTGGTATTCCTTGTACAAAGCTGTGTGCTCCATTTTAAACTCAGGCCCCTGATACTGGCCATGGGTCATGAGAGCAAAACTGTCCCCTCTTCCAAGTCCAGGACCTGGAGCCTCAAGACAGAATGAAAATTGCCATCATGGTGGGGGACAGAAGTAAGAAGCAACCCTAACTGTGAACCTTACTTACTGTGTGGTAGTTGGAATAAAAATGGCCCCCATAGGCTCATAGGGAGTGGCACTATTAGGAGGTGTGGCCTTGTTGGAGGAGGTGTGTCCCTGGGAGTTTCAGATGCTCAAGCCAGGCCAGTGTCACTCTCTCTTCCTGCTGCCTGCCTATCCAGATATAGAACTCTCAGCTCCTTCTCCAGCACGTCTGCCTGCACACCACCATGCTTCCCACCATGACAATAATGGACTAAACCGCTGAACCCGTAAGCCAGCTCCAATGAAATGTTTTCCCGTGTAAGAGTTGTCATAGTCCACCCTATATGGGTCTCAGCTAGGTCCTTTACATATACCTTTTGGGTTGTGTAGCTTGGCGTTTTTGTGGGACTCCCAACAATGGGAGCTGGAGGTGTCTCTGGCTCTTTTGCCTGAGCTTGGGACTCTTTTCTTTCTGATGGTTTGCCTCATCCAGTCTTGATATGAGGGTTTGTGCCCAGTTTTATTGTATCTTGTTAGGCCGTGTTCGGTGGATATCCTTGGGAGGCCTGCTCTCTCTCTCTCTCTCTCTCTCTCTCTCTTTCTTCTCTCTCTCTCTCTCTCTCTCTCTCTCTCTCTCTCTCTCTCTCTCTCTCTCTCTCTTTTAAGGGAACAGAAGAGGAGTTGATCTGAGGGAGAGGGGAGGTGGGGGAGGGGATGGAAGAAATGGGAAAGGAAACCGCTGAGAGAAGAATAAAAGTTAAATAAATAAGAAAGAAGAGTTGTCATGGTCATGGTGTCCATTGACAGTAATAAAACCCTAACTAAGATATACTGCCTACATACTAAGGGATACAGCAGCCAGAGGCGTGAGGACTTAGGCAGGATGGCTGTTTGAGGTTTCAGTTTCCTTCATTAACACATCTTCTGAAAGTCCCCTCTGGTACTCTGCCCTGTGCGGGTCCTGTTGGTTCTTCTCTCTTCCGTCTTTTACCCAGGGGTTCACACTCGCTGGCCCAGTCTGTGCGTCTCTTCCACACAGCGGTTATGTCTAATCTGTTTTCCCCTCAAATCCCAGGCTGCTGTGCAAAATCTCTTTCTTCTGTGATGGTTTTCTGAGGGTCACATCCTGGATAGACATCTGAGTGACCCGAGCCCAGCCCCAGTGGAGATGGACCACTAAGCATGTGGATTCCTGGCAGACAAATCACATTACTCTGAAATCTGTCCCCACCTTGTTAGAGTCCCCAGGCCTGGAACTCTGTGGTCAGGCTGGCAGGATCCATTTCAAATTAACATCTCTAAGATGGTCCTATTCTGTCTTAAGTCCAGTGCTAGACTTGGAAATGTCAACGGCAAGATGGGAAGCTCCAGAACTCCAGCTCCATCCCTGAGCACCTCCCCTGCCCTTCTGTCCCAAAGAGGAAGAGGACTTTGGTTGTGGGATAATCTTTCTGTACACTGTAAATATGTGTCTTTGCCAAGGCGCCTTCTGATTGGTTTAATAAAGAGCTAAATGGCCAATAGCTAGGCAGGAGAGAATAGGCGGGACTTCCAGGGAGACAGAGGAACTGGAGATGAATCTAGGCATGCTAGAGAGACACCTGTGAGACACTGAAGAAGTTGGACATACGCTACAGAGGAGAGGTAACCGAGTCACATGGCAGAACACAGATGAATAGGAACAGGTTAATTTAAGTTATAAGAGTTAGATGGGAACAAGCTTAGGCTATGGCCAAGCTTTCATAATTGATATCTCCATGTCATTATTTGCAAACTGGAGGCCCAAAGGCTGGTTAGGGTGCAGGACACATATCAGACTATATTTGCGGGTGGGCTATAGCTGCTGTGTATAAAGCTGGGCCAGGGCAGGGTTGGCCAGGCACTTTGCCCCATTCATGTGGCAGATTCTACTTGATGGTGGGCTCATGCACCCTCTACTGTCATCCCATGTGGCTGATCAGGACACACACAAGAACAGCAGAGGTTTGGGGAGAATGAAACCCCCAGGCTGTGTCCAGGTGAACCCAGTTCTCCATACGGGGCTTATGGAGGCAGGTGAAACATGCCTAGCTTCTACTAAATTTACCTCTGCTTTCTTCCCTGTTTTTCATCTAAGTCTCTCTTAGAGCCTAAGAGTAGTGGTTGCTAGGGCAGAGATCTATCTGGGTCCCCTGGCTATAGCATATGTTTGTAGCCCTCAGTCAGGCCACTGACTTGGTGAAAATTCTATCATCCAGGAGAAATAGTTCAGCAGGAAGGCTGGATCATACTGTGACTGAGGCAGGAGCTAGAGTAAAGATCTGAGGGAATCAGGAAATGCTTCAGAAAAGGCCAAGGGTAAGACTGGCCTTGAAGCACAGGTGAGACTCCATAGAGATCTGGAGATCTGGGACATGTATTAAAGTAGAACTCAGGAATATCTGGAGTAAAGTCTAGCTTTGATGACTGTGTGGATAAGGACATTGAAGAAACAGTCCAGACTGTTGGATACAATATACAGAGTAAGAAC